GGTAGCTTATGTTGGCCGACAAACACGCACACGTGGCGCGCGCGCGCACACACACACGTACGTACACACACACACCCTATCCTGGATGTTCACAGGGAGCGTCGGCGAGAAGTATCAAAACGCTACTGTAAACCAGAGAAGCAAGGTGGAACGAGTGCCGTGGGGGGTGCTCGCACGCGGGGTCACTGCTGCAGCATTGATAATAACCAAAAAGTAGACAGAACCCAAACGTCCATCAGGAGATATGTGGATGACTAGAACGTGCTGTATCCATGCAACCAGAGGTCATCTGACCACAAGAAGGACTGAAGTGCCAACACCTGCTACCTGGACGGACCTTGAACGTGCAGAAGACGCACCCAGCAGCCGCTCACACACGGGCTCGAAGCTCTTCACACAGTAACTCCCGCGGGCCTCACGGCAACCAAGGCAATGGTGCCATGCCCTCCGATTCCCACGTCGACAAAGGCCATGCACAGCTGGTAAGGGGCAGAGCCTGGGTCTGAACCCCGGCGGCCAGGCTCCAGCGCTGAACGTTACCACGGGGCCCGATGACTCACCCCCAGCAGAGCACAGGCCTGGACTGCTGACATCCAGACGCCAACGTAGGAGCGAGCCATAAACCTCCACCGTCAGGTCCCCGTAGACCCCTAACACATTGGTGACCGCAGGACTCTGGATAAGCACATTCAGAGCTACGCCTCTCAGCTGCCACCCCCAGGGCTACAATTCTCATCGCAACCCCCAGTGCAAACCTCTCCCCCAGCTCCAGATCAACGTGTCCGAACCCAGAATGGTCATCTCACCTCCTAAACCAGCTGCCTGTCCAGGACAATGGCACCACATCCACCTTGGACCCTAGGAACATGCCAGACTTCTCCTTCTCCTCACCCTCCGCTCCCATCAGCCTCCTTCCCCTCTACGTCAACCCCTTCACCACCTCGCCGGCCAGGCTTTCTCTCCAGTGCCGGGCCCTGCCTTCACCTGCCTCTGGTGAGGTCCACGATGTCTCTCTGTGCACACGGTCCTTGTTTTTGCTGGGACAGCGCGGGTCCTCTCTCAACCTTGTTCTAGACCTGCCTTCCTCAGGGGCCTGAACTAAGTCCAAAGTAGCAGCTACGTTGCTGCTTCCTCTAACTTCCAAAAGGTAAAATTCAAGCACCTGTCACATACCTGTTTCGAGAGGAAAGTGACATATCTACCAGGTGTGCTGGCTAGGCAGTCCTGCACACTCTGCCTGGCCTCTGGGTCAAGGATGCACTCTGCATGATCAGGCACCAAGGCGTGGCTCGGATCGAGAACGGGCACATTCACACATCGGCAAACCTAGTGTCTATGCACCTAAAGCTTCTTATCCCTAAGGCTTCAGCCCCTTAAATTCCCAAACCTTCCTGGCATCGGGCACTCTTCCACGGCGGAATTTTCTGAGCATGTCATCTACTCCCGTTATAGAACTCCACTCATGGGGACTCCCCAGGCTTCAGTGCGCCCTAAATGACTGTTCTTACCAGCCTCCACGCCTGGATGGGCTCTGCACACTGCCACCCCACCTCTGAGATCACAGGAAGTCTCCTGACCTCCTCCCCCACCCCTCCTGAGGATGACAGCCTCCAGAGCCCACCCAAGACTGTGGGCCCATTCAGAGGGCAGTCAAGGATCTGTGCCACGTTTACGTAGGCAAGTGGTGGCTGGCATGTGCTGTGCGTGCACACACGCGTGTGCCTGTGAGCATAGATGTGCGTGTGCTAAACCTGCATCGGGGGACGCTGTGACCTTTGAAAGTGGGACCAAATGGCCTTTCCCCAGCAGTGTGAGGTGCTCTGCGAGGAGACCTGAGCCAGTGGCACACGACTCTGACCCATCCCAGCGCTGTGTTAACAGCCCTGGGAGACCGTCAGGGCCACTGGACCAGCTCCATGCTGCTCCATTTCCAGGCTACTCCTGTTCTCCCCTTGTTCCCGGCTTCCCCGTGTTCTCTGACCATTTCTTCATGCCCTGCAAGTTGCTTCCACCACTCATCATCCTGGCCAGCCTCCCCATGAAGATGAACCAACCCTCTGCAAAGGAAGCAGTCAATCTACTTGATGAGCCAAAGTCCTCCGAATCAGACCCTGTTTGTCAACCCCAGATACATCAGCCACTGTTCACTTCCCATCTCCGTCTTTTTCAAGTCACAAAACATGGCATTAAAAGGCCGCTATGTGGCAGGACCTGCAAAGTCAGGACCCCTGCTGCTCAGAAGTGGCTGCCCCTGCCTGGGACATCACAGTCGTTGGAGCTGATGCCGGATTCCCCTCCTCCCTCGTGAACCAGCAGGAGCACGACAGGCCTGGAGCCGGGGACCCGCAACAAACCCTCCACAGGCAAAGCCCGGCTCCCGATCAGGCCCGGTAGCTCTGCCCACCGCAGCCTGAGGGCGCCTGTGGGATCTCACACCAGGAGGGGATTCTTCTCCCCTCAATTAATGGGGACTGTTTCCCAGAGTTCAGTTTAGAAGAAAGGAAAACCAAAACAACACACGCGTGCCCTGAGGACAGAGTCATGGGCATCTTTTGGGAGGGAGGGCGCACGCGGGCTGACCCCTGTGCCATTGGGCACCACGAGCGTCTGAACGGTCATGTGGGAACAGAATGCAGACCCCAAAGTCCTGCAGGACGCTCAGGGATCCAAACCACACAATCCTATGACCAGGTTTCACCCTCTGAAAGAAAAAACTGTATCTGCAAGATCTTCAATAAGCAAAGCATCTAAGGTTTACCCGCTTAAAAACCCAGCCAACCAGAACACCTTCAGCCTAGTGGCTGGCAGCACGCGTGCCCCATGCCCGTGAGCTTCTGCACAGCGCCCGGGCTTCCCCGCGCCCAGCAGACTTGTCCCAGAGCTGCCGCGGGGACTCATCCTATGGGGACCGCCCTCCCTCGTCACCAGGCCCAGCATCACAGCAGGTCTTTCAGCCCGTCCACTGCACTCCCACGCTCCCTCCACACGACGCCCCTGCTCATCCCACAAGGCACAGCTGGAGCGCCACAGAGTCGTCTGAGCCCTAGGCCTGGGTTTGCTTTCCTGCACCCCATGCACCTCAAGATAACACGAATGTCTGTTTTCATTAAACTTCTTCGTTACTGGTTTAAAACCTGTCTTCCTGCTGTAACCACAAGCTCAACGGGGCAGGAACCATACTCGCTTTGCTCGCCTGTGTCCCTACCACCCTGCCGAGGACCAGGAGATGCCCTCTCGACACAGGCTGACTTGAACTGACGCGGTCTCCACACGCTGGTGCTCTGCCCAAGACCAGCACCCCGGCGCCCGCCCATGAAGGTCTCCGTGAATGACACTACCGCACAGGAGGCTGGCGGGTTGGGCTCCAGGACACTTCAACAGACCTAAGGCTTTCTAAAGTAAGGAGAGGTGGACCAGGACCGACACACGAACACTCCCAAGTGCGGATGGCAAGAGGTGAAAGAACTCACACCCACCAACCATACCTGAAAGCCAGGACCAAAAGGTAAAACATGTCCACTTAAAGACACAGCCAACTGCCAGAAATAAATGGTGCGTTTCATACAAATGTCCCCAAACCACCCCGTACATCCACTCGATGCACGTGCGCGTCCTGGTGCATGTGCACACGTGTGTGCAGGGGGGTGTCACAGGAAGGCAGGACAGAGCACAAATCCTAGCTCCTCTGGTTCTTCTCTCTTCTAGACAATGACCACCACAGTCCGTCTCGCTGACGATTCAGGCAAACCCAGTTAAGGATGGTTTGGGTCTTACGGCATGAGTTGGTGGTAAAGTAGTTGAGACAAACTTACCACATTAATTAAATGGTCTATTTAACGTGGAATATCAATTCTCTAATCCCATCTCAGCTGAACTTCTTCTTTCAATTAACAACCCCGAAGTCTACTGACAGGCCCTACTGTGCTAGGATCATTAAGAACATTTTCATTATCTGTCAAGGCGGGAGGAAGAAGCAGAAAGGCAAGCGCTCTCGGAGCAGGCTTCTCCCCTACGTGAGAGCCGATTAGAGAGGGAGCCGTGGTGGTCCTCATTAGTTGCTTAGCAATGAAAGCCCTCCTATGAAATCAGCAACGTGAACAACGTGAACAAAACAAAGAGGTTGCAATAAAACGCACTGAACGAGCATGTTCTCGGCCTCAGAGAGTAATCTGTCCCAGCCAAACCTCCTCCCTCGGATCACAACCATGATGAGAAGCTGAAGCGGCTAAAGACACAATCTCATAAAAACAAACAAATATCAAGTCGGGAAGGTTCACATGAAGACAAATTAAAATTGGTTTTTAATAAAAATGCTGCATGCAAACGGCAAATCCCTCCTTTGGTTATTTATTTTTTATCCACAGATAAATTAAAAAGTAGATCCCACATTTATATTTTCAGAATTTTTCTAAGGCTTAACATATGTTCATAACAGGTACAGTTATATTACAGTTGACTGCTATACCATAAATGGAGAAAAAAATACACAGCACTCAAAGAGAGACCGCACTGCCCAACCTAAATCTCCGTTAAACCAATTTCTTTGCATGTAATTAACATTCCCATAAAATGAACCGCTACTAACGTCAAAGGTAGAAAGGAGACAACGTGCTGCAGAATGCAATCAAAGCTCAGGTTTTAGCTTGTCAGCAGAACATTCGACTAACGTTCTGTCACCTTGACCCGACCCATTCAAATCCACCCCGTGAAAGCCAGCCATCAGAACAAAACCATGCTCCTCGTGTATGGTTAAAAAGAAGACAGTAAGAGTAAAAACTGCATCTTAATGTCTTCTTCAGTAGTTAAACACGTGGATTTACAGACTTCTTTTAAAGCTGGCGTCAATGAGGAAACTATACTCTCTATTTTCAGTTATCATTACAACATTTAACTTAATGGCACATCTCAACATTGGTGCAATGATGCATAGTAACTTGGCAAGGCCACCAAAGTTCACGTTTAATGTCTGCAGGGAAAAAAACATCATGATATGGTCTTACCTATGTGTTCGCACATGAAGACTACAAAGAAAGGAGTGACAAGGTCATTAATCCCCTGAACATATCCACTGACAGGGTGACGTATCGCCCATATAAACAATATCCTTTCAAAAATCTGCAAGAAAATTGAACAGGTGGTGAAGCAAAAGTAAACACATCAGAAACTTTAAAATGTGCGCATTCTTTCCCTCAAAATACATATATACAAGCAACATTTTTCACTGTCTCTAACATTAAAAGTAAAAATGTAAACAAAGTATTAATCGCTACTTAATTTTTTATAAAATCCCCATGATCTTAATTTCTTACTGACTTAAAAGCAATTGCAGTGTCTCACGGAGCCCCGGGCTCAGCCCTGCCACACGAGCTGGCTCCCACAGGAGACACTGTCCGCCCCCGCCCCAAGCCCCGCGGGCAGAGACTGCACACGGCTGCCCAGGACGTGGTCAGGTGGTACAGCAGCACCTGGCCTCTGGGTGAGTGCTCCCTCCGTGTGGAGGGACGGGAGAGCAGAGGGCCAGGCAGGCGGGCGGGCAGGTGCACCCAAGGATGGATGGGTGAATGGAGAGAAGGAAGGAAGCATGGTGGGGGGATGGGGGCTGTGGTCAGGGGAGGGGGTACATGGAAAGATGCTCTGAATTTCCCTCATATGGTAAACAGACTGTTTTAAATGAGGCAGAAGTGACATATGACATTATATTAGTTTCAGGTGTACAATATTTGAAGAGTGACTCAACATTGGTATATATTACAAAATGATCTTTTGTAATATATGTAAGTCTAATTAACACCCGTCACCATACAGTTACAAATTTCTTCTCTCGTGATGAGGACTCTGAACATCTCTTAGCAACTTTGAGACATGCAACACAGTATTATTAAACAGTTAGCACACCGTCCATTACATCCCTGACTTACTTTACGTTGACACCCCCGCCCATTGCACCCACAACCACCCCCACCTCTCCCAGCCACCAATCTGTTCTCTGTATCCATGTGCTTGGTTTGTTTAATCAGTGCACAGTTATCATCACCCAAGAGCACCTGCTCCAGCATCTTCCCATCACATACATTCCCACCAGCCGTTCCATCACCCAGGCCATGGACACAGGAGTAGCTTAGCCTCCTCTCTCTCCTTGCAAGACCCTCACTGCTGACCCAGGCCTCATGCTAAGAAGGCACACGGGGCAGGCTCAATGAGCAAATGCCCAAACAGCGCGTGAATTGCCTCATTTCCAAAGAAGTCAAGCCTGTAGGGCTAACTGCGCTTGTACCCGAGGAGGTCAACCCCTTTCTGCACTGCCCTCACTCCCAAATATCACCGAGCTTGTGGCCTGCATCCCCAAATCAGCACCAACACAGCTCTACAGCAGGGGCCCTGGGGCCTAGATGGGGAAGTCTCTTAACCCAGGGCCCACGGGCAACAAGGGGCACCACCAGCCCTAGAATCCAGGCCCCCATCCACTGTGCTTGCTCCCAACAAAGAAAGTAGCCAGCACATAAGCCGGGGCACCTGGGCACAGAGCCTGCCCAACAGGGCAGCTGCTAAGGACCTGCTGCTGAACGAGTCGTGCGTTCATGCACATACGTTCATACCTGTGTCTCATTTTACAACCGCTTTCTAGCAAGAACTAGCAAGAACATTCAAACAAGAGCAAAAGACCAAAACCACTCAATACGTGGCATCATTTGCCATTTCTCTTGTGCAAACACGACATGGCTGACACCGTGCCGCCACACTGGGCGCCCTCACCCTGGTGACACTGGAAGCAGCACTCGACCCGTCACTGCAGTGGCACGGTGGTCAGACGGGCACGCAGGGCCCATGCAGGGGAGGACCCCTCTCGCAGACCCTAGCCACCACTGCCCCGCATCCGGGCAGCCACGCAGCAGTCACGGGCCTGCCCGGCCACCTGGGCACAAGGAAAGCCCGGGACAGTGTCCCAACCCTTTCCTCGCCGTGGACAGGGTAGAGACAGGCTGAGCAAGCGAGGGCACAGTCAGCGCCGAGACCGCACCAGGGACAGAGAATGGGCAGGACCAGGCTGCACGAGGACAAGCGGGGGCAGTGCCCAGCAGGACAAACTTGTGACAGTTCACCACAGAGCAGTGCAGAGCCGTGAAAGTCAGCTAAGCATCTCCTCACGAATAAGACCCCGAAGTATATGTTCAGCTCACTGGCCGGTTTCTACCCTACACTGGAAAGTTCTAGCAAAGACAACCAGGAAGATGGGGAATTCCCGTGCATGCACGCTCAGTCACGACATGGCCAGGAACAGCGGAGCCTGAATAGCGGAGGTGCATCCCCACCGTCAGGTCAGGCAGGCCCCCAACCGGAGACCCACAGGTAAGACAATGGGGCCAAGCGAGGTGAGAAGTACCCACTCTGGCCCATGCCTCCCTGGTGGAGTGTGGCTCCTTCAATTCCCAGCACGGCCTTCATCCCCTGCACAAGGCGATGCTCGATGGCCCCAAGAGCACCCAGGATGGGATCAGGCCACTCCTTCGGCCATTCTTCGCATGGCCCTTGTCCCCTCTACAGGGCTACCCTCAAGATATGGCAGCGGGGCACCCAGAGATGGGGTCAGCCTACTCTGAAAGAAGCTCCCGGGCTGGGCACCCGAGCAGGGCACCACAACAGAGAACCACATGGTGCAGGGCACTGTCTGCGGCACCCTCCAGGTGACCCAAGGCAGGGAGCAAGGGCCTCTGTGGTCACCACATGACAACCAGGCCTGAGGAGGGCTGGGAACAAAGGACAGCGTCAGCCCCTCACCACGTGGGTGGAAAGGCTCCACAGTGGTACACACTGCATTCCAGAGGCCACTGAGAGCAAAGGAGAGATGGAGGAGTGCCTTGAGGACAGGAAGGCGTCACTGGGGACAGCCCTGAATGCCACGGTGCAGTACGTGGGCGTCAGTAGGCAACCTAACCCCAGGAATGACAACACTAGTGTGATCACGTAGTTGCTAACATCGATTAAATGCTACTGTCCTGACCACCTTCACTAGCTCATCCTCCTCTACACGTGGAGGCAGGTATGATTACTACCCCTTTCAGACGAGGTGGTGGACAGACCCCGGATGGCTCTGTGCCTCCCCCCACCGCCTGGTGTACGCGCTCTTGTGTGGCCCCTTCCCCTTGAGTGTGAACAGCCCTGCACCCTGCTTTGCACAGGGGATGGGATGTGCAAGATTATGTCACAGAGGACGACAACCGTCCTGCTGGGAGACGCTCTCCCTGCTGACTTCAAGGACACAGGCTCCCACACTGTGAGCTGCATAAGGAGAGGGCCGTGTGCCCAGGACCTGAGGGCAGCTGAGAAGCAGCAAGGAACCCGGGCCACAGCTCCACAGCCTACCAGCAACCGAATCCTGCCAGCAACCACGTGGGCCTGGAAGCGGCCCTTCCCCAGTCAAGCCTCAGATGCGTCTGCAGCCCAGACCACACCTGATTGCCACTTGGGGAGATCCTGAGCTAAGACATGCCCAGACTCCTGACTCACCGAAACTGCGGGACAACAAATAGGAGTAAGTGTGTGTTGTTTGACGTGCTGGGTTTGTGGTGATGTCGTTACACGGGAACAGGTAACTCATACAGATGAGAAAGCTCAGGCAGCCACACGGTAAGCAATTCACCCAGAGCAGCAGAGCCAGGAGTCCACGCTGGTATCTGACTAAACGGGGGTCTTGTGAGGCCTACAAAATGCCACCACCGATCTGCATTAGTACATATGCTTTCATATGCAAATCAAAAACGAGAGACCACCAAAAAATTATAACTATGTGGTAAGAAAGAAACAGCGACGTCAATGAGCTCCTGCTGAGCAAACTACATCTAAACTTGGTTTCCACCTGTCCGAGGCCTAGCAGGGACCTGGTCATCAGAGGGGCCTGGTGTGTACACATGCATGTACACAGACACGTGAAATGTGTGCACAGGTGTGAGGTGCGTGTGCACACAGATGTGTGGTACCTGTGTGCGGGCAGGTGTGTGGGGCACGTGCGTGTGCACTGGAGGAAAAGCCAGAGCTCAGGGCACCGACATCTCCTTTCCTGCTTTGCAATCTCACTATCCTGGGGGAGTGGTCATGTCAGCAATGGACCCCTCCCAACCCTGTCACTAAGCCCCAGACTTTCAGAGCACTTGGCTATCGCTCACTCGCTCTCTCTCTCTCTCTCTCTCTCTCTCACACACACACACACACACCCTAACCCCACTCACAAGCAGGAATGCAGGTTTTCGCTTGGCAACCCTGGCACAGAAGAAAAGCTGGTGCAGATGACTGAGCCGGCTCCGCACAGCAGGGAATGTGGAGGGGACATGAGTGTTCTCAGTGCAACCAGCACCTGGGCAGGCAACTGGAGTGGCCTGCTCGCGATTCCTGGGCCCAGAGACCACAGAAGGTCTAAGAAAGCAGCGGGGGAGACCTGCTGGCCAGGTCCCAAAGCTTCCCTCGCGGAGAGGCCAGAGCAAGCTGCCCTGAGATGGACTAGGCTCCACAGGACATTACCTGGGGAAACTGAGGAAAGCACTCAGGGGCAAACGCGTCTGGTGAACACGGCTGAGCAAGGAGGCAGGAGGAGGCAGCTGAGCCTTCTCAGTCTCAAACAGACCGCTCACGTGCTTCCAAAGCCTTCTGTAAGGGAGCCAACAACCTAGCAATCGCCTACTGCCCCCTTCACCTGGGCCCCCGTGCGGGGCTTCCAGAAGCAGGGGCCGGCCCTCACGCTCACAGCTTGCAGAGTGCCCTGTATCTGTACTACTTTGGGAAAACTTCCAGAATTCAGATTTCCCATTAATTAAAGAAAAGCTATCAGTCAGGTAGTTCAAATTATTTATACTTAACTCTACTTGATCTCTCTTGATAACCTGAAAATAATTATACTATTAAGGCTTTAATCCCAGTAACATGTAAATAAAGAGATAAGTAGTTCAAGCAAAAACAAAAATGGTTCTTTTTTTTTAAAAGATTGTATTTATTTATTTGAGAGAGAGAGCGCGCACAAGAAGGGGGAGGGGCAGAGGGAGAGGCAGACTCCCCGCTAAGCAGAGAGCCCGATGCAGGGCTCCATCCCAGGACCCCAGGATCATGACCTGAGTGAAGCAGACGCT